TAACAATTTATATAGTTTTGTCTCTTGACATGCGTTTCTTGAAGGTAAATTATATCTATTTTTAATTTTTCCTTTTTGAGGGGGAGTTCAATCCATTTATATTCATTGAAAGTATCCCATTTTCTTTCTCCATCTCTTTCAATTATATCTAGGTCTTAATTTTCTAGTCGATCTTATCTGTCTCTGTTCTCTTGGTCTTGCCCCTTCTTCTGTATATGTATTTTTAGTTTCTCCTTCTCTTGGTTTGGCTGCCCCTTCTGTTACTGTCTCTTCCTGTCTCTCTCTTTCTATCGTTGTACCAGATTCAAAGTCACCCCCTTCCATGAACGCTTTATGGTTGTCATAGAATTCCACTGCTTTAAGTGCCGTGTCCAGTCTGTATCTTTTCATATCCCAATAAACAAAAATCCCTTCTGGGATCAGCCATCTAAAGTTGACTCCTTTTTCAATTAATTTTCTGGTAAAAAATTGATATTCTCTTCGGGACTCTTTTTTTCTCCTAGAGATTTGTTTGAGTACTACAATTTATTTTCCTTTGTATTTCAAAGGATCATCTCTCACTCTTTTCAGGATCTCGTCTCTTATAGATCTTTTAAGTAATCTAACATGTACTTCTCTAGGAACTTTATTTCTTCTCACGTAATTTGAGTTAACTCAGTATATCTGATCCAATTCTCCTTCTATTTCCTTTTTCCCAATTTCTAATGCATCAGCCAGTAATTCCATTATCAGGTTTACAAAGTCCTCTTCCTTGTCTTCCATAATGTTTTGAAATCTTAAAAAGTAAGAAGCCTTTTCCATTTCCATGACTGCTATTGAGTCCTCTAATTCTCCAGTTATTTGCATCAATTTCTGATTTTCATCTTTTAATTCTTCTAGTTTTTGGTCAACCTCTGTTGATTTATCTTCTATTTTTTAATCCTTTGTTCATTATTTGTGACCATATGCATAAAACTTTCAAATTGAGAGTCCATATTATTAATTTTGGGGTTCATTTTTTCAAGGTCAGTTTTTTCTCCTCATGGTTTTTCATTGTAGCTGCCATATGAATGGCAATTGCCTCTTGAATTGCTTGTAATGTCGCTTATGTCTCTTTCTGAAAGTTGTTAGCCTTTTTTTGTTGAAGCATTCTATCAATTGATTTCTGATGAATTGGACTTGTAGAAGCAGAGGAAGGGGCAGAGGATACTTTTTGCCAGCTTTAGTTAAATTTGGGACACTCATTTTGTTCCTCACCCTCAAATCTTTTAATCCCGCCATTTCTCCATACTGTTCTATCTTTCCCCATAGCTTAGGAATCATCTCTAAAGGTTCTTCTAGAATAAATATTAGATCAGCAAATGCTTGTAACTTGTATGTTTCGTCTTTTATTTTCAGTCCTTTAATTTCTGTATCTTGTCTAATCCTTCTATTTAAAGTGAAGATAAATAACAGTGGGGATAGTGGACATCCTTGCCTTGTGCCTTTTTTTATCTCAAAGCTCTCAGTACAATTTCCATTCACAATCACTTTTGCTGTCTGGTTGCTATATATTGTTTTTATCATAGTTCTTTCCAAAGTCCAGTATTTGTAGTTGTTGAGTCATCAATTGCCAGGAAATGTTGTTAAATGCCTTTTGGGCATCTAAAAATATTAATGCTAATTGTTTTCCTGTACTTCCCTGTATGTAGTTCATAGTATTCTAATATGTCCATTATCACTCTTAAGTTGTTTTTAATTTGTCTCTTTGGTAAAAAGCCATTTTGATCTGGATGTATGAATTCAACTAAGTATTTTTTCAGTCTCTCTGCCATTATTGAAGTAAAAATCTTATAATCCAGTCTATAATTCTTCAGATACGTGAAATCTGTATCCTCTTTTGGTATTAAAGTAATATTTGCTTCTATTCATGTATTTGGGAGTTTAGCCTCTAACAAGAGTCCATTAAAAACATCTTTCAGCAGTTCGCTTAATACGTAAATTTTTATAGAGCTCCGCCGGAAGCCCAACTGGGCCTGGTGTTTTCCCATTTTTTTGTCATTTTATAGCCTCTGATATCTTCATCATTGTAATCCTTTCTTCTAACATAGTTTTAAATGCCTCTGGAATTTTGGGAAGTTTACTTTCTTCTAGATATTGAGCAGTTCTCTCTCTTGAAATCTCTTCTTTATCATACAATTCCTTATAGTATTCCTTAATTATCTTTTTTATTTCTTCATTTTTGAATTATAGACAATTTTCCATCTATTAAGTTATGTATTATTTTCTTCTCTTTCTGTTTTTTAAGTTTATAAGCTAACCATCTTCCTGGTTTATTAGCATTTTCAAAAAAGTTTTGTTTTGCTCTCTTTATCTGTTCTTCCAGTTTTTCTGAGTCCAACAGATTTAGTTTGTGTTTTATTGTTTCCATTTCTCTTTTCAAAGACTTTTTCTATGGGGATTTTTATAGTTCTGCTTCTAACTTTCCAAATTTTGCTTTTAGTAGTAGATATTGCTGTCTTCTCTGTTTATTTTTCTTTGCTGTGTACATTATAGCTATGCCTCTGAAGTACGCTTTGGCTGTATCCCATAGGTTTTTTTTAATGATGTATCTTCTTGTTTTCTTTAAAGAAGAATTTCATTTTTTTTTTCACTTACTCTATAAATTCTTTTTCTTTTAGTATTGATTGGTCCATCCTGGTTTTTTTGTATTCCTTTTAAAGGATTATGGTCCGCCCATGTATCTATTTTTATCTCAATTTCCTGTATATCCAGCCTCAATTCAGATGTCATCCAAATCATATCAATTCTTGATCAGGATTTGTGGCTATTTGAATAAGAAGTATATTGTAGGTTTTGTGGATTAATTTCTCTCCAGGCATCTTGTATTCCAATTTCCTCTGCCATATCAAAAAATGTCTTAGGTAATCTTCTTGTGGATCTTCCTGTTTTACTGCTTTTGTAATCCATTGTTCCGTCTACTATCGCATTGAGGTCCCCTATTAAACAAATATTTTGTATTCCATTTCTATTAGTTTCCTATGTAGGCTTTGATAAAATTCTTCTTGATTGTTATTTGGAGCGTAGATTGCCACTAACAATCTTGTTTTTATGTAGATATATTTCAACCATCACAATTCTTCTTTCTTCATCTGAATATATTAATTTAGAATCTATTGTCTCTTTAACATATACAGCAACTCCTCTTTTTTTCTCTTGTGCTGATGTATAATAAAGCTTCCCAATTTTTGAATGTTCCAATAGTTTATGATGTTGTTTTTTATGTGAGTCTCTTGCATTCAAATTCAATTTCTGAAGTTTCCTAAAGATTTTATTTCTTTTTGATGGGGAGTTTAGTCCATTTTACATTTACCGAAAAAAATCCATTTTCTTTCTCCATTTCCATTATTTATATTTAGGTTTAGTTGATCTTGTAATCCTTTTTTTCTCTGGCAATTCTTCACCTTCACCCTCTTGTTTATCTTTCTCCTTCTGTTGTTCTGCTTGTACAGTTGTTCCTTGGGCCATTTCTCCCGTTTGCTTCTCCCCTTGTTGTTGTGCAGTCCTTCATCCAAAATTGCTCTGTTCCTTACTTCGAAGTCCTCTGCTTTCCAAATTGAATCCAGTCGATATCTTGTGTTGTTCCAGTTTATTAAAATGCCTTCCGGCATTAGCCATCTGAAATTTATGCCTTTGGCAATCAACTTTGTGGTTAAGAAGTGGTAGTGTCTCCGAGTAATTCTTACTCTCTTGGGTATCTGCTTTAGGACCACAATTTCTTTATTTTTATATTGTAATGGTTCTTCTCTCATTTTTCTCAGCACTTCATCTCTTGTTTTCTTTATGAATCTTACATGTACTTCTCTCGGTAGTCTATTTTTTCTTGCATAGCTTGAATTCATGTGAAATATTTCATCAATCTCATTTTGCATTTCTGCTCTATCTGCGTTTAGGGCCTCTGCCAACAGCTTAATGATCACAATTGCTATGTTTTCTTCTCTATCCTCAGGAATATTTTGGAATCTCAAATAGTGTTCCGCTTTTCCCATTTCCACCATTGCCATTGTCTGCTCTAGCTCTTGATTTGCTTGTTCTAATTCTTCATTTTTTTGCAATAACATTTCCACCTTTTTATCGATGTCCTCAGTTTTGTTTTCCATTTCCTGGATTTTCTGTTCATTTTTAATAATCTTTTGGTTTTGGACTTCAAATTGTGCCTTTATGTCCAGAATTTCTTCACTTACTTTCTTCAGTTTACTTTGTGTCTCTTCATGATTTTTCTGTGTTACTTCCTGACTTTTTTTGCATCATCTCTTGAATCGGTTTTAATGAGGCCTGCATTTCATCTTGAGCAGTGCTTGCTTTCTCACGTTGCAACATTGTCCCAACAGATCCCTGAGTGGTTGGACTAGATTGTCCCACAGAGGGCAAAGAAGAGGTTTTCTTTGCAAGTCTGGTAATATTTGATGTACTCATTTTGTGGCTCATAGTCTTAGCCCAATATCCAGAATACAAACAGGAACCAGCTGTTGTAAGGCAAGTCCACCTCCTCCAGTCACGTCTTGAATTTAAAACATTCTCTTTGTCCAACTAGTGTGTGTTTAGTCTTAGCCAGTGTCAACAAATATAACTATAAACAGTCTTTTTGCTTACAATCTCAGACCAAGGCACCATAGTGTTCACAAGTACCTGCCAAGGTCATTTACAGTAAGAACACTTTTTCCCTTTCTTTTCTCCTTTTCTTGGTACTGTTGTTTCTTTTTTCGCCACTAGATGTCCTCCTCGGCTTATTTATCACTCTCCGATACTCTTGAACCACTTTCCCCTTGTTATAATTACTTGCCGCTTTTAAGTTAGTCTTTTGGGGGGGTCTTTACTCTTTCAGCTTTTCCCCATTAGGGTCTCAACATTTTTAATCCTCAAGGAGAAGGAAAAGACTTCAGCTCACCCAGACTCAGCTCATTGTTGAAGATCAGCTGTTTTGCGGAGCTTGCCTTCTGGCTGGAGACAACTTGGGCTCCCGGCAGCCTGTCTTCCGCCCCTTTAGAGGGGTTCTCCAGTTCGCTCAGATCGGTTGCCACCAGATCCAAGCTCCTGAAGTGTCCCTCTTTCTTCATTGCCCCTCCGGGGCAACTTTCGGCCCCTTTAAGGGACGCTGGGTGAAGTGAAACTGGACTGAGAAGCTGGAGCTTCCATCCGTTCCATCCTCAGACCAAACTGGAAATCTCAGCTTCTTCATTTTCTATATTTTATGGTCCCACCAGTTCTTGCTTGCAGGCCAATGGTATTTCTTGTGGATCTTGCAATGCATCCGTGTGGCTACTTTGTTGTGCCATTCTTTGTAGTTGGTTTGTGTGACCTTTTTTGACTGGGCTGTTTACTGTTAGCTTCTTTGGCAGTTCCTTGACTGGAACATTGTTTACTCCTTGATTGTTGGTATGATGTTAATCTTGTTCATCTGGATGTTGACTGTTGGTTGGGAGGTATTTTGATCGTTTTGTTGGTAGGGAGGTATTTTGATCGTTTTGTTGGATTCTTAATCGAATTCTCCCAAAAAAGAAAACTGGAAAAAATCAGAGAGAAAATTTTTTTTGGGGGGGCATGACTCCTATGTAAATCTCCTATGAAACAACAGCCTATCAATATGATTACTTCACTTTTGTCGAATAAACATGGCATCTCATCTTTGTCTATGTTGGTCGAGCGTTTGTGAATAGGTGTACCTGGGAGCTCATCCCTTCTTCCTCCTCCATTGCCTCCGTCTCCCGTTTCCTCAGCCGCTCTATTAAGCTTGCAGTATCAGGAGTCAGCTGGGCAAGCCCTGGGGGAAAATAATAAAATACCTTGTACTCGTGAAATTGTTAAACTTTACATAAAGCCAATCACTTTCATTTTAAAAATGGAAATGAAAATTAATTAAAATAATACTCACTCTCTTCAGCTTGTTGGAGCTTCTTTTTAATCGCGTTGTTTTCCTTCACAATATCTGCTAATTTGCTGGCAAGTGTTTTATTTTCTTCTTCCAGCTAAGACATAAAAATGACCAGGAGCATACATCAGTCATAGAATAGAAATAAGCAGACCAAAAGAGAAGCTGAAGACAGGCTTGTAAGGGAAACAACTGACTCACAGCGGTTATTCTGGCATTCTTTGCTGCCAGCTCCTCCTGATGCCTTGCTGTGAATTCTTGGAGGTGCTCCCTCTGTTTTCTTCTTCGTTCTTGGTACTTCGAGAGACACACCTGCCAAAAGAAGACATTTTGAACCCTTTGAACAGAGGAGGCAAATTTACTAAACAAATCATAGTGTGGTACTGTCTCAAGACTCTATTTTAAAGAAAAAACTACCAGACCCAGAAAGCTGTCCTGTCTTCCCTCAATCCTTCTCACTAACCACTGTTAACCATTGTTAAGCAACAAACCTCATGACATCACCTGAATTTTTGCCTCTAGCCACCGCAGGGACAGCTGAAGTTGCCTTTAGCTGCTCTGCTGTTAAAAGTGATGCTATAATGGCCCTTTTGTTCCCATTGAAACCTTGCTGTATGAACCATTGATACTGCCTTCGAGATAGTGTTGATGACAACATGGTCAGAGGCTAGGATGTTCTTATCTCTAGTTTAGGGTAAGGTGATTCTGAGCCTCCTGACTTAATTAGGAATTAGGGATTGGAGGGCTCTAGCCAGCCCCACAACTGTGTTTTTCTCTGCACCCCAAGCAAAGGCACAGAGCCATGTGTTCCCAGCCTTTCTGGAAGGCTGTCCTGTGGATGCGTTTAAACTGAAGATATTAACACAGTTCACCAAGAAAGCGCCTGAAAGAAGATGTGCAAATATTTTTAAAATATTCGGCTTCAAAAGTTATTCTAAAAATTATTCTAAAATGTTTTTTGCTTGTTCCTAGATTCTTTTGATTCCTGTTTTACTTCATCATTATCATTACTTTTCTCATGTTATCTGTCATATTACCTGTTTGAGTCCTAAATCCTACTGTCAGACATGCAAGTTGACAAGTAAATAAATAAAACCCAAGATCTCTTACCTCAAGCAGGAGCTTCCCTGCATAATAGAGGAATGTCTCCATTATAAACTAAACTAATCCTAAGTAAATTAATTCACGAAATATATGAAATATGATAAACAAATAAACAGTATGTTAAATAAATATATTAAGTAAAATGAATAAGCAAATAAATATTGTAAAATAAAACAAACCTAAGCTATATAAATACAGATAAATAAAAGCACAAGAAAATATAAGCAAACAAATAACATCAAATGAACTTAACTAAGCGCCCACAAAACTCTTGAGTGAATAGTTTTCACTTAGTCCACCAAAAGGTTTTATTTACTTCTCCTTTGTGAGCTCATGCCCCTGTTAGCACCATTATGAGGCATGACCTCACCAAGGAAAAGCAAAGCAAACTGAGTTGCTGAATGAATGCTACTCAGAGTTTTATCTATTTTTCAATATTGGTAGATATGTAACTACAAAATTCTGCTGATGCGTTTAGTGCAATCAGAGGATGAGCTACCAAGAAAAATACACACAGCTGAGAGTGAAAAGGGGCTGCAGGGGTGAATGAGCAGAACTGGAGATATTTCTGTGCTTGGCAGAGTAAATTGCAATAGGATCTCACTTTAAAGAGCTTCCACGCATTGCTTCTTATCCAGCTCTTAGGTGCTTTTGAGAATAAGTCAACCCCCTCATCTTTTTGGCTGCCCCTCAATTACTGGAAGACAGCTGTCATGTCACTCCTAATCCTTCTCTTTGACAGGCTAGAAATAACTAGTTCCCTTAACCGATGATTGTATAATTTAACCTTCAGGCCTCTTATCATCTTAGTTGCTCTTCTCTGCACTCTTTCTAGACTCTCAGCATCTTTTTCGTATTGTGGCAATTTTCCCAAAAGCCCTTAAGAAGACCAGGTCCGAGTGTGAAGGAAAGTGCACCTGAAGGAGCAGTGGGGGAGAGTTTCGGCAACACGGAGTTCTCCCAGAAAGAGGCCTGGATCAAGAGACTGTGCAGACCCAAGCTGGATGGGGGAGCAGGAAAGGAGTTCAGTGTAGCTTGAATTCACACAAGATTCTCTCAGAGTATATCTAGTAAGTTAGAAGGTTATTGCTTGAGTCTGACAAGATTCTGCCAATTAGCTTTAAGCAAATAAAGGATTCAACTTAATTGGATTTTGCTGTGCCGTTCCTGATCTTGGGCCTGACATTTCCTTCAACTATGGGATTTCTAGTTTTTTTAGGATATCTATTATTATGGTCTTTTATGTTTGTTTTTGCTATTTTTCTCTAACTAGTTTTTGAGAGGGTAAAAGTGAGGGATGGGAGGGATAGTTTCAGCCTTGCGTGATTCTGTTAACGTAACCTCTAACGTAGGTAGAACTAGCATTTCTGGTTCTGCTTCTTGTCGAGACACTGGAAACGTTGCGTTAATGTCAGGCCCATCATATGTCTTGCAAATCAATATAATGTCAGTTTTTGATGCAAGGATAGTATATATTCTTATTGGAAAGACTATTTGATTTCCACCTTGGAAAAGTCATTAACCAATCTAGGGAAATTTGTTTTGATGTACAGAATAATTTTCTACCTTACAAGTAAATTTGATGTAGAATTCAGTTCTCACTGGAAACCATCCTTGGAGTATACTGTAACTGAATACATGGATTTATGCCTTATCCAAAATTTAACAGAATAACAGAGTTGGAAGGGACCTTGGAGGTCATCTAGTCCAACCCCCTATTCAGGCAGGAAACCCTATACCGCTGGTTGTCCAGTCTCTTCTTAAAAACTTCCAGTGTTGGAGCATTCACAGCTTCTGGAAGCTAGTTGCTCCACTGATTGTTCTAACTGACAAGAAATTTCTCCTTAGCTCTAGGTTACTTCAACATCATCTGCATATCTTAAGTGGTTTAAATAGGTGCCATTGATTTTTATTCCATCTTTTGCCCAGTCTAGTTTGCGAAATACTCCTTCAAGGCAGGCTGAGAAAAGGAGAGGTGATATTGTATCACCTTGTTGTACATATGTCGTATGTTGATTTCCCCTTTAAGATCACATTGTTGTTATTGGTTTTTTTCTCATATATTGACTGTAGTAAGTTTATGTAAGCAGTCTCTATGCCTTGGTTTTGCAATGCATTGATTGTTGCTTGCTGGAATACTGAGTCAAATGCATTTTCATAGTCAATGAAAGCCATGCACAGAGGCACAGTGTACTCATTGTACCTTTTAATGACTTGACCTGGAGGTGATTCATTGTGCTGTAACCACTTCTGAACCTTGTCTGCTCCTTTGGTTGGGCATCAGTTAATGTTCTCAGTATTCTGTTTGCTATTATCTCGGTGAAAATCTTGAAGATGTTTGAAAGAAAGCTTATTGGGTGATAGTTCTTCAAATAATCTTGGGCCCTGTTCTTATGTATAAGAATCACTTCAACATTTTCTCATACATTGGGTATTTTTTCTTCTCTGAGGCATCTCAAGTATAGTTTTGCTAGCATCTTGTAGCAGAGATTTTTGACTGTACAGTGCTTTCCCAGTGGTGCTATACATATGGACATTTTTAGCTATTTGTTCATTTTGGTCCATAATGTTCATCTCTTCCAAATCTTGCAATAGAGTGAAGCAATTTGATGAATTAATCTCAAAATTGCTGCTCTTCTCTTCTATGCCTCTTCATTTTCGTTTTTCATGACTTCCATATGGGCCAGTCACTTTCCCTCCAGTTATTGTTCTTCCTATTGTTGCGTTAAGGTCTCCCATTAGTATTTTGTATTGGCATTTTTCTTTGCCTTGAAGCTGGGCCACATCATTGTAAAACTCTTCGACCTCATCATCACTATAGCTTATTGTTGGTGCATAAGCTTGGATTATTTGAAGCTTGTATTGTTCAATTGAATGATGCATTGGGCTATGCTGGTTGGCAGATGCAATCCATCATGGCCTGTTCACCTTGGGTGACCCTTATGGACATACACATGTCTGACAACATAGTCCACTATTTCATTTACCCACATAAGCCTCTTTGCCTTGTCAAAGCTCCAATCATAGAAGGAGCTTTGGGAGAGTATTTGATGGAGAATATTCAGGGTAAGAAGGTTGTCATCATGTTGCGACTTCATTTGGGACCAAATTGGGACTGATAACCGTTGCTGTTGTTAAGTGAAATGGTGTAAAGCACGATGTCCCCTGATTGCCTCTCTCAGCCACAGCAATCCAGCCAGTTCTGGTGGTCCCTGATTGGGTCAAGCAAGAAGCGGAGGGAGTCCTCAGTGAAAGAACTGCAGGTTTCTTGAAGTAGAACTTTTCAACACAGAGGTTCTGAAAGTGGAGGTGATAGCTTTTCGTCCGGATTTATTTGTGCACTAAAATACATGGGAAAATCCCTCTGCCGATGAAAATAAAATTAGGGGTATAGTTAGGACTCCTTGAAGTCAGGACTAAACATTGATGTCAGGGATAGATTACTAGAGGTTCTGAAAGGAAAGCGGAGGTGACAGTTTTTTGTCCAGAATTATTTGTGGACTGGGGTAAAACACATGGGAAAATCCAATGAAATTAAACTAGGATTAGAATTAAGTTTCCTTGGAGCCAGGGCTAAAAACTTATGTCAGGGACAGATTATTAGATATTCTGAAAGGAAAGCAGACATGGCAGTTTTTTATCTGGAGTTATTTGTGGACTAAAGTAAAAGACATGGGAACATCCTTTTGTCAATGAAAATTAAACTAGGGTTAGTGTACAGGTTAGGGTTAGGACCCCTTCATGTCAGAGCCCAAAATTGATGTCAGTAAAGATTCTTAGAGGTTTTCCAAAGAAAGTGAACATCTTTTCATTGTGGAGCACAACAAAATGCATGGGAAAATAGAATTGCCAATGACAAAATATCACTTAGGGTTAGGGTCCGTGCTAGGGTATAGAAAGGAAGGAAAGAGAAGGAAAAGTCAGGCAAGGCAAGGAAAAGGGCCAGGATCAGAAACAGTGGTTACAATTATAAATAAGGTGGTTTGAGTTAGATAGCAGGAGGAACTTCCTGAGCTGTCATTTAGTGGAATCGGCTGCCTCAGCATATGGTGAGTTGCTTGCCCGGATGGACATTTGTCAAAAGAGATCTTTCACAGAGGAGACAGTCGAACTGGATGAACAGAAGATTTCTATTCTATTCTATTCTATTCTATTCTATTCTATTCTATTCTATTCTATTCTATTCTATTCTATTCTATTCTATTCTATTCCATTCCATTCCATTCCATTCCATTCCATTCCAAGGGGTTGAAACTAAGAACTTCTGCAAAGCCTGCACTTGTATACCTGAGTTAGTCTCCCTCCCTTGGTATGGCTTTCTTTGAGTGAAAGGAAAAACAGATTGGGAACATTTAAGGGAAAACGATAAATAGCGCTCACAATGAGCACATGTGTGCACTCTTTATTGCAGCCCAATATATGTCCTGACAATATACAACAGAATCACAAGGTTAGGTGTCTGTTAATTAAATTCTTTCATCTGCATCAACTGAGGATCATTGAACCTGATCTCTCTTACCCATGGAGTAAGGATACGTTTTCCCCCAGATTCAAATACTGGATATAAAACCCTTCCAGAGCAGTTTGTTGTGTGCTAGCTTACACATAAGGATGGAAATCTCATAGCCCAATTTGGATTTTTGTTATTGTTAATAAAATGCTTGGGAGAAAATTTAAGGAATTTGTAGGATAAAAACAATGGAATATTTTCTTTTCCCACAACCCAATTCCCACTTCTTCCCCAATTTCAAGTTCTTTTCCCTTAGATAGGGGGCAAAATGTATCGGCCCTTCAAGGTACATCAAACAAGAAGCACCATCTATGAGTATTAACACTAGTTATCTATTTAAAAATAAGTTGAATGAAATGGGAAGCATGTGTTGCAAAACCAGCAAAAGACATAAGAATCAAGTAGGGCTGAACGGAGGTGGATCAGATACTAAAATGAGCAGCTGAATGCTTTGAGGAAAATCAAATGGGTTGAAAAGATGAAGACCCAGAAACTTTTGGTTAGGTTGAATCTGCAAGAAAAGAAAAGTGAGAAATTTTAAGAACAAAAAATGATATATAAAAAAGCATATGGATGTAATGGAAGTGAGTAATTAGACTTAGTTTTTATTTCTTATCCTTTTCCTTATCTTAATTTTATTATTTTGTCTTAATAATTCTCCTTTTCTACAGTTTGAATAATGTTTATCCTAAAAAAGTATTGGGTGATGAGTAATTATCTCTATACTGTATGTAATTTTCTCTACAATATCCACATTATTTCTTTTTCAATGAATAAAATGTAGGGTTAGTTTTAAGATACCAGAAGAGACACCAGAAAACCTACTGGTGACTTTCTGATTCTGTAGATAATGCCAAAGTCATTTTCTATTTTTTAAGTAATAAAAAGTTGCTGCCTATTCTTTATCTTTCTCCTATCTCCCAGGGTTTCTGCAACATCGGCCAGATTTTCTTGGCACAAACTGGCTTTAAGCATGAATGTGGAGAGAATGTATGCAAAGTCAATGCAAAGTATTTACAGAGGATAATATCAACACCATTGTCGTCATCATCATCATCACCATCACCATCACCATCACCACCACCTTCATCAAGAAAGAGTACATTGGAGAGTTATTTGCAGAAAACCATTTGGGAATATCAGTGTGCCTTTATAGCTCCTATTGATTTTCCTTCCAAGCATTTTCTTAAAAGTGATTTATAGTTGCAGGTTTTGGTGCCTTAGGAAATTTGTTCTCATTATTATGCTCACCATCACATGACAAATCATTTATTTTCCAAGCATTTAGGCAGCAGTCTTTCTGCAGAAAGCATTTCCGTCATTCCATCTTTTTTTCTGATCTAATTCAATAGGAAATGATGTCACCGCAGCATAATGTACAATGTGGTTCAGCTGTATGTTTCTTATTGTTCCAGCACTCCCTCTTGTGGCTATTATATGGTATTACAAACCTTGAGAAAAAGATTTGATCTACCCAGCAATTCGTCTGAGGACTTACTTACAACGTACTCCATGGTCTATTTGGGTTCCCTAGGGCAGTGCTTTTCAATTCTGTTAGCTTTAAGATATGTAGACTTCAATTCCCAGAATTTCTCAATCAGCATACTGGCTGGGGTAGTCTGGGAGCTGAAACCCACACATCTTAAAGCTGACCAGGTTGAAAAACACGGCTTTAGGGGCATTAGAACAATTGTTACTAA